CCATATATCTCTAACACCCTACTACCAATATAACCACTATCCCTCCTCTGCACATGTCCAAAGCATCTCAATCTGGCCTCTCTAACCTTGTCCCCAAAACAGCCGACCTGAGCTGTCCCTCTGATGTTCTCATTCCTAATCCTGTCCATCCTGGTCATTCCTAAAGAGAACCTCAACATCCTCATCTCTGCTACCTTCATCTCTGCCTCTTGTCTTTTCCTCACTGCTAGTCTCTAACCCACACAGCATAGCTGGTCTCACTACTGTCTTGTACACCTTTCCTTTGATTCTTTCTGCCACTCTTCTGTCACACCCCTGACAGCTTCATTGTGTGGCTCATCAACTTTATACCTCTGTAGCTGCTACAACTCTGCACATCACCCTTGTTAACCTGGGCCTCGGCCGATCCAGTATGGAACTCACACTGACAATTTGCATGTTTAAATCTGTCATGTTTTTACACACTGGATGCCCTTCCTGACACAACCCTCTCTATTTATCCGGGCTTGGGACTGGCACAGAAGTCACTGGTTTGAAACCCCTGTGGCTAGATTCCACACAATAAATTCCCCAAATAAAATCAAATTAATACCAGCAATGAAGTTCATATGATACGACACAAAAATTACTTTAGTCCAAGATTTGAAAACATTTTTATTGTTTTAACCAATAAAATATTGCTCTAATCAAACCATCAGGATATTTTCCGTTTAACCCTCAAGCCAATGGTATGGTTGTACTTCACTGTTGTGTGACTGCCTGCAAAATGTGTAAAGTGTGCCTCCTTGTGGTGTTATTGAGAAGTTTGTTCAGTATGTGAAAAATAACAAACTGTTCTAAAAACTGTGTGTGCTGCTGACACTCACCAACCAGGTTTATGGATGACATCTCAGACTTTTTAAAAATCACCACACTAGTCACCAGTAACAGACCTGTCTCAATCTGAGGAAAGGGAAAGAAAAAATCATCATCGGTTGGGTTAGAGGTCATATACATATACCTATGTGTGTGTGTAATAAGAACCCAGGAACAACTAACTGCAAAACTGCACTTTAACTACTTGCACAAGGTTTAATTAAACTGTGATCATTAAAGTTAATGATTTCCATGCTATATAAAAGCCTACAAGAGGGAGGTGTGAACATCACTGTGACAGATTACTCTCCAGATACCTTATTTTTCCTGCCAGAAGCCTTTCCTGACTTTGGGAGGATGCAGGAGTCCATGGCCTCAATATCCTTTATGCATATACTAAACAAAGTGTCACAGTAACCAAACCACAGCTAGAAATAAAATAAGGAAGACAAACATTGTAATTTCTCCATCAGAACTGATCATAAATTAACAAGCATACAAACACATCTACCCAAAGCGAGTGCAACAAATCTCACTAAGCTTAAAGCTCTTTTGGAGTGCTCATATTTTCACGTACATTTTCTCCTAACATGTAATATGAACATAGACTTCCATAGCTATAAACCTGACGTTGTTATTAAAACGCTTGAAACCCTGAGCACCTGCTGGCCAACGCTGAAGACCTGGTTATTGAAACACTGGATGAAATTGCAGGCCATCCTGTCCGTGTCGTAGGGTTTGCTGTCCACACTCTTCCGCAAGAAATCAATCTCTGCTGTCATGGTGCTTATGCACTGTCTGGATTTTTCTATGATGTAGTTGTTTACTACAGAAAAGAAAGCACAAAACATGGTGAGGTTTACAGCTAAGACAACAGCTTCTCTTATTGACCTGGATCGTTTCTGTTGGAAGGCTCCTTATAGCTTTGTTATCCAAAGAATGTCCAAATCCCACTGCGTTTCCTCGTGTTCTGTGTGTATGCCTCTACGTGCACAACACCTCAAATTACATTCAGCCATTTGATGCTTTCTTTATTTTGAGCAGCTTTAAATTTGAATGAGTTTCAGTCAGGGCTGTTGCTAACGATTATTTTTCTGTCAAATAATCTAACAATCATTTTTTTCAATTAGTCAAATAATCGTTTTTATATAAAAATTTAAGAAAATTAAACATTTCCAGCCATTGGTCACTTATTTCAAACTTTTCAAATTTGAAATTAAAATGAAAGTTTCTCTTAACTGTACAAAACACACAGTATATAAATAAAATTATAAAATAAATAAAACTAGTGAAATCAAAACAAAACTTAAATTCAATGTAAAATATTGAAAAAAACAGACTAACCAAGTAAATTTAAGCTTTCTGGAAGAACACAAATTGTTACTTGTAAGTGAAAAACAAATAGTGAAACCAAATTGTTAAATTTGCATAACATTTTTGAAACTTTTTAAAACGGTAATTGCTGTCAAACAAGTTAATCAACTCAACTTTCAGTAACACATCCAAGCACAGAACATAATGTCCACTTCTTTCTCTCCCCTCCCTCTTGCCCTCTCTACATCATCTTTCTCTTGTTTTCTCTTATTTACTTCCTCCTTTACTACTCCACCTAGGCATTACTATGGAGGAAGGTGAGCATGGCCACATGCTCTGGGGTCAGGCTTGCTCTTTTTTTTGTCACAATGTTCCCAGCATCTGAAAAAAGGCGTTCAGGTGGAGTAGATGTAGCAGGGACAGCCAGGTATGATTTGGCCAGATGTGTGAGGTTGGGGAACTTGCTGCATTGTCCTTCCACCATTGGAGAGTGACATGTGACTCCCAAATATGCCTCAGTGGCAATACTTGTCCAAGCATCAGTAGTGTGTGATTTTTGATGAAGCATTTTTAATTT